TTTTTAATATTTATTTTCCAGTTCTCGGTGGACACAACATCTTGTTGGTATGTGGTGCTGAGGATCGAACCCGGGCCGCACGCATACCAGGAGAGCGCGCTACCGCTTGAGCCACATCCCCAGCCCGAGAATAATCATTTTGAAAGGTCAAAATAGGTGAGGGGATGATAGAATGGCAAGAAATTTGCAGTTTTGAGTTCTTAAGTCTTGAGATACTCGTCAATCCTGCTTTGATTTATAATGTAGAAATACCTGCTTTGAATGAATACCCACAGCTGCAGGTCCCAGACTTCTTTGGAAACCTCACTTAAAAGGAGACTGCAGTGGAAGCCCTGCCTCCTGACAGAGCCTGGCTGCCTCTAAGCATCTGGTGAACTTGGACTAGGTGGATCTCCACTGATTGTTTTTGCTTTGGCAAGGAAGATGTGCTCTGAAACCAAAGTTAATAGCTGAATTTTAAACATTGTATGACATTTGTTGGCATGCATTCTGCATATTTATTAATTTTCATTACCACCCTTTTTCTTGCCTAGTTTCTTCTATTTTTTATTGACTTTTATTATTTATTCACAGCATTTAAAAAAATTTTTTTTTCAGTACTGGGATTGAACCCAGGGCACTTAACCAATGAACTGTACCCTCAACCCCTTTAATTTTTTTTTCTCAAAAAACAAAATAACCAAATTTAGTTAGTTTGACATTTTCTCTGATCTAAAGAGAAAGATGTCAATAAAAAAAAAAAAAAAAAAAAAAAAACCTAGGACATACATACAGCCACCTACCCTGATGAATTCAGATAATCTAAAAGAAAAAAAGAAGGGCAAAAGTTCTGTTCAACAGAGAAATTCATCTTCGCTTTTGGAAGATGTTTCCATGTCCCGTTCCATGTCCTCTTCCTCTTGTAGCCACTTGGGCCTTCAGAATAGCAGCTTTTCCCTGGCTACCCGCTGAGCCTTAGTTTGTATTTTCCATGCTCTATTTTTTTCTTTTTTGAAACATGGTCTCACTAAATTGCTAAGGTTGATCTCAAACTTGTGATCCTCCTGCCTCTGTCATCCCAGCAAATGGACTTACAGGCATGCACCACCATGCCCAGCTTCTTACCTACATTTTAAAGAATAAGACAAGCACTTTTTTTTTTTTTAGTCATTTGCCACATAACTGTTTTAAATCTTCTATCATTCAAAATTCAAGTCTTCCCAGCCTCCTGATACATGTGACCCCCAATCTGACCTCACCTGGCATATTATATGAGAAACAAATCTTTGGTGTACCTGAAGAAATCACCCAGCAAATTCTGCAGCATTTTAAAATTCGGTTTGTGAGATGGGTGCAGTGGCACATGCCTGTAATCCCAGCTACTCAGGAGACCCAGGCAAGAGGCTTGCAAGTTCAAGACCAATGTGGGCAATTTAGCAAGACCCTATCTCAAAAAATAAGAGCTGGGGTTGGGCATAGCTCAGTGATAGAGAAGGGAAGTGAATCAATTTGTGAGAAATCAAGGACATTTACTAACCTTGTTTTCTCCCCTGACCCCCTTTGTTTTAGATGGATAGGGTGGGGTTGAGCCTAAAAATAAACTGGGAACCCCAGGAGGTCAACCACTGACCAGGTGAACTTAAGAACTTTAGGTTCTTCACTGAGATTGCTCCACCACTGAGCTACATCCCCAGCCCTTCTTACTTGGAATAGGATTTCACCAAGTAGCCCAGGCCAGCTTTGAACTTACCATCTCCCTGCCTCGCCACACCCAGCTTTTCTCCAAGGTTGCTCAAATTTTCTCCAAGGTTGCTCAAAAACTAAAAACTTACTGCTGCCACTGCCCAAATAGTTATGATACTCTGGGGAACTGCTTCCACACTTCATGAAACTCAAAACTAGTGTGACCTTGACAGGGCATTTGCCTCTTAAAATACATTTTGAGGACTTGGGCTGAGGCTCAGTGGCAGAGCACTTGAGTAGCACATGTGAGCATTGGGTTCGATCCTGAGCACCACATAAATATATAAAATAAAGTGCATCTATTAAAATGTGTATATTTAGATATACATATCTAAAGTGTGAGAAAAAGGCTTTAAAATCAATAGGACATACAGTAAAACATGAAGCTTTTTTTTTTTAAAAGAACCATTTTTTATGCTTAATATATTTCAAACTATCTTTTCCTAGTTGCATGCTTTAAGAACTCTCAGATTAGCCCCTAATCCTTAGACTCTGCTTGCTGTAGCTGCCTGGCAAGGTTCTCACCTGGCTGCACAATGCAATTACCTAGAGATACTTTTACAATACCAGTCAATACCTGGCTGCCACCCCAATCACTGTCATTTCGTATCTGGTATTGAATGTGCCCTGAGCAGCAGTATTTTCCCAAGTAATTGGAATGTACAGCAGTTAGCACTGTTTGGTTGTGGTAACAGCCTAAAACCTCAACATGTATGTTACTTATTTTACTGTTTTGGATGGTGATTTCATTTCATTATTTTACCTTTTTGAACAGCAATTGGATTTGTTTGAGAAATCATTAAATGAAATCTACCATAGAAAGGATTTTCTCAAAGTTAAACATACTAAAGTGGGATGGAAGAAACAGTATTGTGGGAGAAGACAATTCTTGTTTTAGATTGCAACCTACTCATCAGTTTTTGTTGTTTTTGGTGGTATTTTGCATTCAATAGTTGGTTCACTTGGATTATGTCCTCACTTTGGAAACTGCAATATTGTTTAGTTCTGAACTCCAGCATTACTGCTTAGTTGAGGTATTCAAAGAGTGCTGGATGCTCAAAATAGTCTTTGCTGTAACTGATGCAGCGAGGTAAATTGAATCCACTGATATTTGCCAACAGTATCTTACGCTACTTAGGGCTGACTTCACTGTGTACCAAGTTCCTACAGTTTTTAGAGGCAATAATTATTATAACAATGGGACTGAAGAAAACCAAGTTCACAATCACAGAGGCCTCAGTATTGTGAACAGTCAAAATCTGTAGAGGGAACTGTTTTGGTGGATTTTTTAACAAATATTTTTCTCAGTTGTAGATGGACACAATACCTTTATTTTTATCTAGTGCTGAGGATCGAATCAGTTTCTCAGGCAAGCACTCCCCCACTGAGCTACAACCCCAGCCCCAGAGCAGTGGCATTGATAACTGAAACTAAAGTAAGGTTGGTTATTCTCACCTGCTCGGAGACTTACAGTGAAAGGATCATAGGAAACTTCGTAAATAACCTCAAGGCCAAAGTTTTGTCTTTGGGAAGAAGTTTATCTGGTTATTAATAATTAACATAACTTGCTTACACAAAGTGATCAGAAACATATGCTTCCTAAGTGTACAATGTCAAGTGTGGCCACTAGTAATGTTCCAGTGCCATCCTTATGACATTCTGGCTTCACCTCATTGTCACTTTTTCTTTGACCAGTTCGATTTCCCCTTCCTACAGCACTTGCTGCTGTTGCCTGTCACATCTTAGGACATACTTCATCTGTCCTTTTATTCTCCAGTCCTCGACTTCTACTCCTGTGTTTGTGCACTTGGCTCACCCCAGTCTCAAAAGTAGGAGCTCA